GCGCCAGCTTAAACAAATAGCTCAAGAGGTTTCTCAGACTAATAGTAGTGTTAATGGCTGGGGACGGCGTCCTGCTGCCTTACGAGCTCTGAGTCAAAGGCTAAGCAGGTTTTGATATTCATCACTATTTTCCTTTTCTTGCTTTGGGTGTAGTATAAAATATCTTGTGCCTAAGACATTTTTTTTTTCTCCTACAGAGGCTTTAATGAGGCTGTTAATGGTTTCACCGACGAAGGCTGGTCGGTGATAGGAGATAACATGGATGATGTTACAATCACCGTGAACTCTTCTCCAGACAAGCTAATGGGTTCGAATCTTACATTTTCCAATGGCTTTGCTCCTGTTAACAGTGTGGTTTTATGCGCAAAAGCCTCCATGCTTTTACAGGTCCATGCACCATTCTTGTTATATATCAACTTTCTTTTGACATTTTTTCTTCTTTTTTTTTTTAACTCTTTTTTTTTTTGGGGTTTTTGCAAATCTAGAACGTTCCTCCAGCAATCCTGCTTCGGTTTCTGAGGGAGCATAGATCAGAATGGGCTGACAACAACATTGATGCATATTTGGCAGCAGCGGTTAAAGTGGGACCTTGTAGTGCCCGAGTTGGAGGATTTGGAGGGCAGGTTATACTTCCACTGGCTCACACTATTGAGCATGAAGAGGTCAGTTCAAGTTTGTTCTGTACTCGTCGATTGTTGTTTTATTACTTTCATTTAGGTTTAAGTAACGGTTGGTGTCTTTCCTTATTAGTTCATGGAAGTCATCAAATTGGAAGGTCTTGGTCATTCCCCTGAAGATGCAATCGTTCCAAGAGACATATTTCTTTTACAAGTAAGTACTTATAGATTGTCTCGTGTTGCATGAGTTTTAATGTGGATCGCTAATATCTAAATATATTCTTCTTGTGATTAGCTTTGTAGCGGAATGGATGAAAATGCTGTTGGAACCTGTGCTGAACTTATATTTGCTCCAATTGATGCTTCTTTTGCGGATGATGCACCTCTGCTTCCTTCTGGTTTTCGTATTATCCCTCTTGATTCCGCAAAGGTTAGAACAAACAATGTTTTTTCATCTAAGTTACTTTTTTTTTTTGTTTTTCCCGGTTTTTCAGACTCTTATGCGTTTCTTGAACCTCAAAGCAGGAAGTATCTAGTCCAAACCGAACCTTGGATCTTGCTTCAGCATTGGAAATTGGTTCAGCCGGAACAACAAAAGCCTCAAGCGATCAATCAGGAAACACTACATGTGCAAGATCTGTGATGACAATAGCATTTGAGTTTGGTATTGAGAGCCATATGCAAGAACATGTAGCATCCATGGCTAGGCAGTATGTTAGAGGTATCATATCATCGGTTCAGAGAGTTGCATTGGCTCTCTCTCCTTCTCATATCAGTTCACAAGTCGGTCTACGCACTCCTTTGGGTACTCCTGAAGCCCAAACACTTGCTCGTTGGATCTGCCAGAGTTACAGGTATATACATATCAAATTATCAAATATGATCTAAGTTTTCCACCAAATCAACAATTAGTTATTGAAGGATGATTCATTTTTTTCTGTTGATAATAGGTGCTACATGGGCGTTGAGCTACTTAAATCTAACAGCGAAGGCAATGAATCTATTCTCAAGAACCTTTGGCATCATACAGATGCTATAATCTGCTGCTCAATGAAGGTACTAACTCAACATTAAACGCATGAATGTTTTGTTTCACTGATCCTTTATAACCTTTTGGGATCTGAATTTGGTTTAGGCCATGCCCGTCTTCACATTTGCAAACCAGGCGGGACTTGACATGCTAGAGACTACATTAGTTGCTCTTCAAGATATCTCTTTAGAGAAGATATTTGATGACAATGGAAGAAAGACTCTTTGCTCTGAGTTCCCACAGATCATGCAACAGGTTTCAAAAACATGATAATAAAACCACGACTTGTTATAATTTCATCAATTTGTATCGACTTACCGGGATATTTGTTGTAGGGTTTTGCGTGTCTTCAAGGTGGGATATGTCTCTCAAGCATGGGGAGACCAGTTTCATACGAGAGAGCAGTTGCTTGGAAAGTACTGAATGAAGAAGAAAATGCTCATTGTATCTGCTTTGTGTTCATCAATTGGTCCTTTGTTTGAGAGTTAATGTACTCTTGAATAATCTGTTTTCTTTTCTCAGACGATACTGTTGCCTTTTGGTTGTATTGTAAAACGGTCTATGTTGTTTCTTGATTTCGCTGTGAAACACATTAACAGTATTTTGTTTGAAAACTCAAGAAATGCTTGCTTTATATTTGCTGAAGAGATGATGATGTTATTTTCTTTTTTTTTTATTATTAGTGCATTTAGCTTTCTAAATTTTTATTCGACTTCTTTACAAAAAAAACACTGCACATCACACAATTTAGCCTTTTTCCTTTCCTTAAATTTATGGCAATCATTACACTCAACAATGACTATCTCCATCTGGTGCAGGCTTCTGTTTAGGATAAGGTTGAGATTCAAACCGAAACTTGAAGGTTTAGGATAAGGTTCAGATTTAAACGAAAATAAGTAAAATGTGTTTACGGTTATTCTATACCAAACAATTTTAATGAAAACCGAATTTAGTATAACCGAACCGAATTGAATACATTTGAAATTGATGTAAAAGAGTAAATTTTAATTACAAATACTTCGATAAGCACAGTTTAGTGGTTTGTATCTAGCTATGTCGTTGTCACTACCCATATTCAATCTTTATCTATATAATTTTTTGAAACTGAACTTAGAACTGTAGATTTGGTAAGGATTTTCCATGTTAATGATTCACTATGTTGGTTAAGGTTAAGGAGAATTAGTCTCTTCAAATGTGGAATTATCGATCTTATTCATTCACTTGCCACTCTTGACATTTTAAATAGTAGAATATTTAAATTTATATGGATCTAAGGAATTAGTTTAGATTTGGTAAGGATTTTCCATGTTAATGATTCACTATGTTGGCTAAGGTTGAGGAGAACTAGTCTCTTCAAATATGGAATTATCTTAATCATTCACTTGGCCACTGTTGACATTTTAAATAGTATGAATATCTAAATTTATATGGATCTAAGGAATTAGTTTTGGTTTCAACCAAGATAACTCTGGTTATTAAATTTTTTTAAAAAATCGCCATTTTAGTTTTACCTGAGTGAAAACGAGATGATTTTTTTTTTTTTTTTGGCATTGAAAACTCCACGAATCGAACATTCCGAAACACTAAAATTCCATCTAAATGGTATGAAAAAAATTCAATGTCCGCCCTTAGTTTACGAAGAAAATGTGTGCACATAAGAAAGATATATATCTATTTGTTTAATTTTGAATTCAATTTACTTTAAAAAGTTATTTAGGAAAGAACGCAGCAATTATTTAACACGTAAAGCAAGAGCTATAAAATCCATATATAGATTATGGCTATCATACATAGTGCAATCTAAAGTACAAAAAGTTGATATATAAAGTTTGTTATACCACTCTTCCACCTAAAATTGTATTTTTGTTTCTGCTTTTCCATTATTTGGGTTTATTATGTGTATTGTATATCAGCTAGCTGGTCACATTCTTACAATCTTATGTATAAATTAAAAATGAAACCAGTCGATATACAATTGTATAAAACCCGTCCTTTTATATATAAAAAATGTATAAAATCCTTCACGAAATTGGTAATCAGATGATTTATATATTCAACTGTTTTAATGATCGTACGTCAAGAAAAATCTTTATGTCCCTTATTAGCCCATGTCAAGATAAGTTCTTCGCGGCATTTTGATTTATCTACACATTATATTAGTTCCGACTCTCTCAGTCGCTATGACTTCGTAACTTTGATACATCTTAATGTCCTAACGTATCATATTGAGTATAGTTATCGATCTTAATTGCATTCTTACAATAATATATACCCAAATATATCAATCTAATCTACCGAAAAGAAAAAATCTAACGTTGGCAACACTCTATAAACTTGAACTTTATCAAAATAGAATGCTAGCATTCAAACGATTCACTTCAAACTATTGAATCATAGAGTTTTAATCAAAAATTTATTCGACTATAACATATATAACTTTGATTTTAACCATGATTATTATTAATTTTGAATGCATTATATGGTAAAAATGCATGAGTGTTTTTGTATGAATCCCATGGTAATTATGGGTTGTTTTGAAAATCTTCGGCGTTTAATAAAGAAGACAAATCGCAGATATGATTTTTGATAATTTCAAATTTTAATCTGAGGGTACTATCAGACCTATGCTTATGTAGACAAAATATAAATGTTCACCGACAGGACTGTTTTTATATATTTTTAAAGTAAAATATTATACCGTAATATAATTTTTTTTTTTCATATTAACAGAGCCAAATATATAACCACAATGTTTTAGAAGTTAAAGAAAATTGGATTATGAAATAAAATTAAAAACACTAAGATAGAAAAAAACAGGATAACTAACTAACTTATTTATCTTCACATCATATTCATTGTCATTTCACCATTAAAACATTAAATTTAGGTTACCGTTAACTATAATTTTTATTAATGATTCGATGACGATTGTAATTATTCTAGCAAATTTTGTTATATGTATATAAATTGAATTTTTTTTTATACCTCTTCTGGATTTTGTAATTCCAGGTATGGCTCTAGATACACTAAACAACATGTACAATAAAAAATATAAAAATTGTGGTCCGTGTTCATAAATTTGTTTTCTTTTAAAGTGACATGGATTCAATAATTATGCTCCAATAAGCTTTTGCTTTGTCTTTATAATATTTGTATAATCTTGCACGTTTTAGCACCTCTATCTCTCTCTCTCTCTCTCTCTCTCTCTCTCTCTCTCTCTCTCTCTCTCTCTCTCTCTCTCTCTCTCTCTCTCTCTCTCTCTCTCTCTCTCTCTCTCTCTCTCTCTCTCTCTCTCTCTCTCTCTTTCACCCTTTATAAATCCCTTCCATTTCTTCTCCTTAGCTCATAAGTAATCAAACACCAAAAAACAATAATACAAATCTCTCTCTCTCTCTCACTAAAAAAACAAATCTAAAGATCGATGGATCAAAACGTACCAATAAGCAAGAAACTATGGAACATCGTACGTTTTCTCTTGTACATGATCCGCAAAGGCGTTTCAAAACATAAACTCATCGCCGACTTCAACGCAACTCTCAAACGTGGCAAAAACCTCATGTTCCACCACCGTCGCCGCGTCCCCGCCGCTTCCACCACCTCAGACACTCTAAATGCTGCTTCATCCGCCGCCGCAACCGCACCTCTACGACAAGAATACGAGTTTAGCTGTAGCAACACTCCAAACTACTCTTTCCTTTTTCCCAATATCGCTTTCATGAAGAAAAAAAGTCAGAATAGTCTCTTCGCGTGTGGTCAGACGCCTCAAACGCTCGACGATGACGCGGCGGCGGCTAGGGCCGTTCTTGATCTGCTTAACGGCGTCGGAGACAAAGGAAACGTCACGCCGGCGGATTTTTCGGCGGCTTTATCGCCTTACTTTCCCGGGTTTGGACGGACCCCTTTGGTGAGGCCGTTAAGAGTAACAGACTCACCGTTTCCGTTAACGCCGGAAAATGGTGACGTGGCTAATGGATACGTGGACCAAGCAGCTGATGATTTCATAAAGAAGTTTTATAAGAACTTGAATCAGCAGAAAAAAATGATTGAGTTCAGCTAATGATAATCTGATCGTCAGTGCATGTGTTTCTTCATATTTCTCTTCTTCCATAAATATCTTTTTTACTCTGTTTTTATTTTCTTCTCCTTTTGCTGATTAAATGCCAAAGATGTAATGATATTTTTGGGGGAGTTTTATTTTCGCATTTCTTGAAACAGATATTACGAATAAAAAATATATATTATTGCTTTCATGAGATTAAATCTATAACTCTTATGTGAAAATATGCAGTGGCTTAAACAAAACTGATTCCAAGGAAATTAATCAATATTTCGGGATCCGCAAACTTTCACAATGACACCAAAATGTGTTGCAATATATATTTAAGTTCTTTCTAAAAAAAAATATATATATTTAATTAGTTATCCGACATCTAGTTAATGAATACTTCGACAAGAGATCTCTTTAGCTTTTCTCAAAATTAGTAACTTCAAAAATAATTAAAACTATAAATTAAATACAAATTATAAGAAAATTTTGTATTAACTGAGATGACTGGAATAGCTTACTTACTATGTTATTTATAAATTAAAGTCGAATAATATAATGACAAACTATCATTATTTTTATAATTTGTTTGTTAAGTGACAATTATTTTAAATAAATATATGCAAGTTTGGTATCTGTTCGATCTGTTGTCTCAAATAAAGACATATGGGCAATATTCTCCGTATCGTCCTTTGATTAGTATCTACCATTTCGTACGGTTTGAATCTTATTAGCGTTTTAATTATATGCATGTATGTCATGACCCCCAAAATAGACCCGAGAGGTTTACGTTTATTTGCCAGTCACTTAAAATCCCTAATTAATCTTTTATATATATAGTCATTATATGAATTTTACGGTAGTTAAATATGTGCAGTCTCACTTTAATTTCCAAATACATTTACGCACTGCAAAATGCTTAGAAAATTATATTATGGTTATATATTCGATATATTTAATTCTGATAAACACGAAACTTAAAGTAGACATTGCAAGCTGTGTGGCTCTTTCCTTAAAGCAAAAGAGAGAAAGTACTTTTCCAACTTTTGTTTTCTTTAATTTTCTTTTACTTCTTTTAATTTTCTTTATAATATAATCACAAGTTTGAATTCATAGTCATAGCAATCAGCCAATTACGTATCAAAACAACAACTCTACCACTATCAAGAAAAGCTTATATATGGCAGAGTCAATAAAAATTTCTTTCGTTTGTCACTATTTTTCATCTTTTTAGATTCTAAAAATCAAGAATGAAGAGCAAGGTTCTAAAATTATTCTTTCCTTAGTTGGGATATAAAAGTGATTAAGACAATTACACAATTATGCATGTGTTTGATAGAAATACATACATGATATATACATATATATGATGAGCTAATTGTCGGACGAAAATATGTTATCTTACGCTTAAACTTTAGAGAACGGCTTTAAAGTCTTCCAAAGGAGTAAATCTCTAAGAACAATTAAAAGACTATAAAAATGGCATTATAAATCTTTTTCAGTTTTTTACATCTCTAAGAACAATCTGCATTCCGAGTAAACGAAAATAAGATCGGTCTTAATATACAAACAGATTTATGTTTTTGTGTATACATGTGTGTTCTATTTTTTTACTTAATCGATATTAATTTCTATAACATAGGTAATTAGTTTAACTTCCAGACAAGAATGTTAGATATACTAATTAAGATAGATGTAGGTTGTCCAAAAACAAACAACTAAGAGTACTAACATGTAAGAGCTATCAAAACTTCAAAAGTTATATTGATCGGAAATAACATAGAATTGTGAAATGAAAGCTATATATATATACTAGAGTACAGAAACAATTAAAAGAAATACTAACATTTAATGACGATTCAAGAGAGAATTGCATTAAAAAATTTTATTTGAAAGACCAATTAAGATGAAGCTGTATTAAATTCTTTGGATCATCTAACGAAAAAATAGCTATTGTAGCAGCTTTTGTGCTGGTAATGCCCTTTTCGGGTTTGATTGAACCATGTGTGAGAGACTCAGAGAGATACTTCCAAATAATATGTGAGATTCCAATTGGATAAGGACACCTTCATTCTATGATTGTGTGTTTATAATCTGCAAATTGAGTTACCTTTTTATAAGGATAATGATTGATAATTGTTATGTGACTAGAGAATGTGTTGTTTATAGTAGGGATATAAAAATAGTTGCTCCAATCTCATGGATTTCCAACATTAATTACCAAAACCAAAAATGGATGAAGACTAAAAATCATGGGCCGGGTCGGGCCATTATATTCACCAACGCAACATGCTGATCTCCTATCTTGTAATCTACTATGTAATCGCTCCTAATGCTTATTCTCTCTCAATAGCATTTAATAAGACTAGGATATTAAACAAGAATCAAGCTACTTTTTCTTAGAATAACTAATTTAGAGTTATGTGATAATTATAAAACCCGCCTCTAAATTGCAGACATTTCTATAAAAACTACTTGTAAAGCTAAATTAAGTTGTCTGAGTTGTTTAAGAAAGTCTACATAAAGACAACTCAGATAAGTGCAGAAGCTTGATCAATCGTTTTTTACTTGTAACTCTAAATTAAAGATATTCCTTCATCCTTACTTGCACGTCAAGTATCTTTGTTCCCTTTTTTGTGATAAGCATCAAATTTGTTTTTTTGGTTTTGAAGTATGACTTCGTTTGGTTTCTCTATCACAGAGGGGACTCTAAGCTTCACAAAATACACACCAGCGTATCTTAGGGTCCGATCGAGAATGTGATTCCGCTTAAAGGAAGCAATTTACCTCTTGAGGGAATCGAACTTTCTACGAAACCTACTATCTTATTAGTAAGACATTTTCCTTATCGATAACCTCTCTGCACATCAGTGGACATTTTCATATTGCTCCTCAATTTTCTTTCTTTTCTATCTGATTTCTCCTCTGTTTTTATTTTTCTGTTTTCTTTCTTCTCTGTATCTGAAATTTTGGATGATTCCTCTATCCGAACGTACAAAAACAAGAGAATTTGTTACTTGAATTAATTATTTGGATTATCAAAAAGAACATCTATTAATCTTTTTTTTTTGTTTCCAGCTTTTTGGCTGGTATTACTGTTTCAGGGCTAGATTGAGCATGTGTGTGCCACACGGCAACAATGTACCATATATGATAATTTCATAATACCCAACTTGCCCCTACTCTTCTTCATGCAAGTCGAATTTGTGAATTATATTTGTCGACCAGACCTCACCTATAAGAGAGTCAATTGTCAAATATGGTAAAAAAATGAATAATTTAAATAAGAATATGGTAATGAACCTCACGTAATGGACATGAGGATAAGAATGTTGTGCACTTCATGGCTATCAAGAGGAAAGACAACGGAGCAAGTCAACAAATACTCGAAGAGGACGTGGCAAAAAAAGCTTCGATCGTGCAACTCAACCAATACACAAGGAAGAGTTAGCATTTCTCAGACCGCAACCCTCAAAAGCCATGACTTGATTAACCTGGAGGAATTTCAGGCTTTTCTGAATTCCATGCAAGACCCTAATTCTAATATATTTTCAGCTTTTCTGCAGGTCCATCAGGTACAACCAGTGTTTACCGTACCAATGTGATTATAGATACACCTTCTGATGGAGCGGAAGCCTCTAGGATAGAACTAGATCCGTTGATTCTGCGAATACCCGGAAACTAGAGTTTGTGAATACTCTTCACAGTGGTTTATCAAAACCTCTTTAGGAAAACTCTTTTAATTAATCAAATCATAAACTGAATACAATAGAAAGCCTAAACGACATATTTATAATAAATCTCGAAATCCTAGAATATCTTAGAAAATCCTAAAGATAATTATTAAATTATTAAAATACAAATAAATAATAATTATCTAAATATATAAATAAATAATAAAGATATTTGGAAATATTCCAAATATCTCGCTGCATCAGGTCTCGCCGGCCAAGAAAGATTCGTCCTCGAATCTTCAACCGGTTCTTCCACATCGATTTTGTGTCTTTTTGCTGAGGATGTTTTGTTTTTGCACAAACCAGATTTTGCACGGATTTTGCACAAACCGGATCCGCACCGACTTGTAAGTTTTCGCAGATTTGTAACCGCCCGGATTTTGCACGATCCGACTTTTGCACGACTTCTGCACCTGTCAGATTCTTGAAATCACCTTCTCGGAAGACGAAGTCTACAACCATGACATCTTCATCATATATGTCGAAGATGGGATCACCATAGATCTCTTTATAGATCTCATGGTTTTCTTCTCTTTCAGCAAAAGGACTTTCGTCCTGGATAGGATAGATGCTTGAACTCACCATGACAACTAGAATCGGTCTCTGATTAAGAAATCAAAGAACATGCGGCTCTGATACCAAATGATGGAGCGGAAGCTTCTAGGATAGAACTAGATCCGTTGATTCTGCGAATACCCGGGAACTAGAGTTTGTGAATACTCTTCACAGTGGTTTATCAAAACCTCTTTAGAAAAACTCTTTTAATTAATCAAATCATAAACTGAATACAATAGAAAGCCTAAACGACATATTTATAATAAATCTCGAAATCCTAGAATATCTTAGAAAATCCTAAAGATAATTATTAAATTATTAAAATACAAATAAATAATAATTGTCTAAATATATAAATAAATAATAAAGATATTTGGAAATATTCCAAATATCTCGCTGCATCACCTTCATTATCTGTTAATGACTTGGAACCAAAGAAACAGACGTATCTTACTAAGTCTAACATATAAAATTAACACTACCACTTCTCTGTGCAGGGCCGGATCTGGGGACAGCCTGATGAAACATCCGTCTATAGCACCCAAAATTTTTCTTTGGTTATTTACGAATTTTTCAGCCCCCAAATCACAAAAATATATTTGTTCTTAAATTGTTTCTAGCTCCCAAATTCTCAGATCCGGCCCTGTCTCTGTGTATAGCATCTGATTCAAATCGGTTCCTATTGGCCCAAAAGTTAGAAGCCAAAGGAAGGAATGGAGGCAAGGAGTGGGATGATGGAGCCAAACCTGACGGTGTATCACAGATCTATATACGAGAGGGCTGTCAAGGCATTGAGTCCATCAAGTTCGACTATGTCGAAAATGGACAACCTAAAGCTGGACCAGTTCATGGGCAACCTAAAACTAGACATTGTGCTACTTGCACTATCGTAATTTTTTCTCTTTTTTTTTTTTTCTGTTGAAGAACTTGATGTTTATAAAAGATTATATTTTATATAAAGAGTAGTTGGTCAAAAGAGCCAAAACTTGTGTATAAAAGACACCTTCATGGCTTAGCTTATAGTCATATATATATATATAGATCACCTTAACAATCTCTGTTCATCAGCTCTCTCTCTCTCCAAACTTGCTTTTATTTATATCAATGTTACAAAGCCTTAAGGATAATTCTAAACTTAAGCTCAAAAGGTAGAGCATGAATATCTCCAAATGTTGAATTGCTTGCATTCCACGCAAGAAATTTGGATTTTCTTCTACTATGTTTAAAATATGTTTGATCTTTTACTTGAAAGGCTTTTTTTTTTTTCTTGTTTGAATCCCCCAACCTAAAGAAACATAAGTGTGTATTGATGCAAACTATTACTAAAATAGTAATCTTTGAAATTCTAAAGATTGTTTACTCAAATAGTTATTGGTCTATTAAAATTAGTAACATGCATGAGCCGGTCTTATTTATATTTTTCGTTTTATAATCCTGCCACAAATTATAAAGGAAATTATATTTTAGTTGGACTCAGGTGGTGTGTCACTCTGAGGGGTCTTGTGAAGCTTGCTGACGTCGTAGCCTTCCTCCACTGCCTTCTCAACCAGTTGCTTGTATGTATCTTCCTCCAGGTGAGCCGTCCTGCTCAGTATCTACACATATACATAACCCATCTTAATTAGGTTAGGATCATCTCAACTATTTGTCATCATAAAAAGTAAGAAAAAAAAAGAAGCTTACCCAAAGGTAAAACCTTGAGGGATGGCCGATGACTGCGTGCTGGTAATCGGGATCGATGTAAAGGACCCAGTAGTCTCCGGTGACGGGAATGATAGGGAGGAAAGGAGGGACGTAGAACTTGACCTTGAACTTGGCCTCGTCGCTCTTTGGGTCGGTTTTGTAGGCCGAACCTTGGATGAAAGCTCTCTTCCCTCCGTTCCATACCTCGTTGAGGACGTGCACCGTGCCGTCGGGGTTTAGGGTGTAGGTGGCGCGAGTGTCCACGCCATTCTTAGGCTGAAACAAGGATGGGAAAGAAGCAATCTCGTACCAACGGCCCATGTATCTCTCCAAGTCGAGCCCCTTGACCACTTGCATCTCTTTCGACTCCGTCGTCATCTGTTTTCCTTCTTCTCTACGATTACAGATATTTTCTTTGAGGTCATTAGGATATTCAAGAAAGAAAGATTCGGTTTCTGTTTTTTTCTCAGGAAATAGAAAAGAAAAAACAAAAAAATGCCTCTTCTTCTTTTATTTGTTCTAAGAGCAAAATACAATACAACTACATGATTATCCGCGCAGAATAAATATTAACCAAAATTCTTTTATTTGAATATGCAAATACAATATATACATAAATATAACTATAAAAATATTAGCTGATTTTTATATTATAAATATATATACTGATTATGCAATTGTAAATAATATTTAAAATTATATTTATCTTGTAATATAATTACATAAATACTAGATAATAATTAATTTTCTATTTAATTTTAATAGTATTTTTATATGAATAAAATTGTACATTAAATATATACTAAATTAGATTAATACGTTCTATTTAACTGGTCCAACATCAAACTAAGATACTTTACTTTGATATAAAAACATGTGAATTATAATACATATTAAAAAATTTATATTTTCTTATTCTTAGATAGATAATATGATTATTTTTTAAAATAAAATTAAAATAAAAAAAAATGAAATAAAAAAATATAATGTTTAGTAACATAAATAATATTATGTATTAAATTTTTATAAATATGTTGATAAGAAATAGAAAGAGAAAGAATATCTTTATAAATTAAATATTGAGTATTAAATATAGAATTAATATAATCTAATCTCTAATCAAGTTAATCAAATAGCATATGATGTAATTAATCTAGTAAGTTGAACTTAATTTCAAAAAAATCTCGAAAGCTCTTTAAAATTGACACTTCAACATGACAAAATTGTTAATAACATATGACATAAATGTCTTTTTTTTAAGTGTCATTTTCAAATAATAATAGAAGTTAAGCTATACATTACATTCACATTTTGATTTGACTTTATTTTTGGTTCCCACCAAATGTTACTCGTTAGCGCAATCTCGAAATCTTAATATCTATTATGGAACATTTTCCAGGAACATTTTCCATAATTAACTAAGTTTCAACACTTGCCAAAACAAAAATTCATAAAAGCTTTAAATAAGTGTGAAATTTTTGAAAATTTAAATGAAAATGTAACTTTTTGGAAAGAAATCAGAAAAAGATATCAGTCATTTTCAATCAATTGTAAACTAAATTGAAATATCTAATCATTTGACTCCTAATTATGGTGGTATTGGTTACCTAATTGGCTAATTTCTAAACCCAACTATCGATTTATATGTATAAAGTTATAATTAATAGTAAAAACTTGAATAGTACGTACCTCCGTGGGGAGGGAGAGGGACCATGGGGAGGATTTGGGCCACCGCATTTGATTTTACAGTGTTCAAAGCAATCACCGTCGTGAATGGTGCAAGGCGTTGAACACTCTCTCAAACATTGAATCCAATCTTTTTTCTGTATTGCTTCTACTGCGACCGTCGCAACCAGCATCATTATCACTACTGTCGCACTCCATTTTCCCATTTTTTTTAAGATCCTACAAATTCAAACTTTTGTTATATCTTCTTCTTCTTCTTTTTGTTTTGTTTTTTTTTTTTTATCGTACGACTGATATAATATTTTTTCAAGAAATCTACCTCTATTTATAATACTTTCGTAAGTCTTTTAAAATAAAAAAAATCTTTGTGTAGATTTTTTTCCTAAAAAAATGAGTTTGGTTTTAAATTGGGTTATATTTCCATTTCCTTCTATATATGTTTAAGATTTGATATGTTTTTACAAGCATTAAATTTTATAAGAATGTGATTATCTTAAAAACATTATATGTCATTTTCTAAAAGAATTTTATTTACGTGTCAAAATTTATTTAAAACAAACTGAGTTAATTTAAAACAAACTGTATAACAAAAAAAGAACCGGTGAATTCATAGTTTTTATTTAAAACAAGCCAAAATCAATACTAACTGAAATCAAAATATTTTTGTAAGTTAGTTTTGATATCCCATCGGTTTACTAATGATCTCACATTGATACTGTTCTATGGTCAACGGTTCTGTTTGATAAAATATAATAAGATTTCTGTATATACGATAGTAGACGATATACTTAAATATTTTTATAAGTATCTTAATAATTTTATTCAAAATGTAAATTATCACGAAACCCTAGCGTGTTCACTAAACTGTATATACCCCTCTCTAATCTTCTATTTTCTTTGTATCAGTGTTAACTCACTTTAGGTCTTCCTCCTTTTTTCCTCTCTTTGTTATTTGTTCGTAGAGTTGTGCATTAGTTTTTTGTTATTGTTCATAGCAAAATAACTGGTGTAACCCCTAATGTTTTTTTTTGTTGTTGTAAGGAAGCAAATTCTTATCATTGTTCCTTAACTGTTTGGTTTCTTCCAGATATTTCAGTACGATCGTTCCACATCCCCAGAGAAGAAGGAAATTTTGATTTTTTCTGTTTCGGTCCAATTTCTTCTGATTTCGGCCTTGGACAACTGCAAACCTATTTAAATTTATTTTTATCACTTTTCTGAACACGCTTTCTATTCTATTCAGACTTTTTGAGATTTTGACAATTTGTAAGATTATAGAGACAAATCTCTGACTCTACATCTCTGAGAAGATTTCTGAACCTTTTTAGATTTCTATTTTATTGAACATGAGTTCTTCTCCATCTTTCTGTGTTTCATCTGCTTCTATGTCTAAGTAGTTCTCCAGTTAGGTTTTTAGGGTTTCAAGGGATTTTCATGAATCACTAAATTGAATTTGTAGATTAGGGAATCACATAGAGTTCTTCATCTATTTTTGAGTTTAAGGCTTAGACTAGATTGATCACCTAGTTTATGTTCTTAGGATTAATCTAAACATGAAAGTGATTTAGGTTTCCTGACAGAACTTAGATGAGCAAATCGTCCTTAGCCAACGAAAGCTGATGCTAAGACGATTTGTGAACTTGTCAAACCAGAACTTTAATGCATGTCTAGAATTCTAAGGTCAAACGACAGTTTAGATACTTAGGTTATTAGACATAGTAGCTAGTGCTACGACAGTGGGTTAGCTAGACGCTTATGTTTGAGTTCGAAAATGGTTCTTAATTCATTCCCTATTCGATAATCTGCTTAGTGAGTCTTGATTTCCTGCGAATTAACTGAAGACCTAGCGCTTTTCTAATTTGAATTTACATCTCACAACTTTGTTTTTCTTAGTTTGTAGAAGTCTTAAAACCATAAAAAAACTCTGTCATTAGGCTTAGCTTTACTTTCTTTCTGCATTCTCGTAGCGTATACTTGGTTCTTGTGGATTTCGATACCTAAAATACTATTTCGATTGCTGTGCTCTTGCAGTAGAGTTTATGATTATTCCTGAAGTGTTTCAAGAATTTTTTTTTGAACCTGAAACACTTAGACTCCAAAAACAATAATTTAAAATACTATCTCATTTGAATTTATATCTCACAACTTTGTTTTTTTTTTAGTTTTTAGAAGTCTTAAAACCATAAAAAAACTCTGTCATTAGGCTTAGCTTTACTTTCTTTCTGCATTCTCGTAGCGTATACTTGGTTCTTGTGGATTTCGATACCTAAAATACTATTTCGTGCTCTTGCAGTAGAGTTTAGGATTATTCCTGAAGTGTTTCAAGAATTTTTTTTTTGAACCTGAAACACTAAGACTCCAAAAAAAATAATTTAAAAGAGTTAGTAAAAACAAAAAGAAAAGAAAAATATGTATTCTTACCGGTGGGTTGCCTCCCACCAAGCGCTTGTTTGAAGTCCCTAACTTGACTTTGGCTCAGGTATCATTAAGGATGAGCATGTGAACTTGCCCCAAAACAAGCTCCACATTCAGACATCTCTAGCTTCAGAATTCTGCTCATGATACCCTTCACAACATCTTTTCCTTTCCCTTTAAGCTCCAAAGTGAGAATAGCTTTAACCTTAGAGAATGGCTTTGAGGTTCCTTTGCACTTCACCTCATACTCAATCAAATCTCCATCACATTTCTGAGGGATCAATGTCATATGAGAGTTTTCCTTGACTCTTTTATTCTTTATCTTCCCCTCTGCTTTAGACTTTTTGATGACTCCCTTGGTGATGATAGAGGGGACATCTAAAACATTCATGACTTCATTTTCTTCATAAGGCTCTTTCCAAGGATCAACCACCAATGTTTCTCCCATGATAACACTAATGCAAGAGACATGTTTGAGAGCTCCTCTAGTGGGAATGACTTTGTAGAAGACCTTCTTGTCAATGTTAGAGAATGAGATTCTCTTACTAGGCATGTCTATAATTGCACCCACTGTGGCCATGAATGGTCTTCCAAGGATTAAAGGCATTTCTGATCCTTCGATCATCTCCACAACCTGAAAATCAGTAGGAACCAGACCATCTCCAACTTTAACAAGCAAATCAGGGATAGTATCATATGGAGTTGTGGTAGAAGAATTCGCGAATGCAAGAGTCATCTGAAGGTGTCTTATACATGTATCAACAATTCCCAACTTCTCTGCAACAGCCTTTGACATTAAATTCACACTGGACCCAGAATCAACAAGAGATTCTTTGAACTCAACTCCAGAGATGGAGCATGGAACAACAAACTTTCCAGGGTCTTCAATCTTACTCAACTTTTTCATTGGTGGTGGTGTATTTCTTGTCCTGATAAAGAGTGCCTTAATCTCTTCTAGAGTTTCTCTGCAATTCTCAAAGAAATTATACAAAGGCCTGTTTTCCCATGCTTCTTCAAATGACATCTCATGGGGAATTCTCCTCACAATCTTCTCAAAATCACTCAGCTTCTCTGCAATAATGGAATTCCTGAGATGTTTGGGGGTTTTAGGATATGAGAACTTATGAACATATACTCGTGGCCTGACAGGAGTGCACTCTTTTTCTACCACAACATCATGTGCCCCTTTCTCATCTATCAATTCAGGTGCTGTCACCATCTTATCGTAAACCATTACAGAATTGCAATGCTCTCTTGGATTTATCTCTGGCTTTCCAGGAAGATTTCCAGGTTGCCTCCTAATAGCATCTGCAATCTGTGCTACCAGCGTGTCAAGCTTCTTCACATGAGTGGCAAGGGACTCATACTTGTTACCGATGTTCTCAATTTTGTTGCTGAGATCACGATACATCCCATTTACCTTAACATGGATCTCCTTTGCAGTCGTCTGCTGATTAATCATGACTTGCTGCATCATCACTTCAAGTCTAGACTCTTGTGTAGCTAGATTAGAGCCGTTCTGATTCTGAAAGTTGTGCTGTCCCTGATTCTGCATGTTTGTCTGGCCCTGAAATCCCTTAGAGAAAATGCTAACACCTTGGTTTTGCACGAATGGTTTCTGCTGAAACTGCAGACCCTGATTTTGCACACCTGCTTGTTGTGGGTAGACTTGATCTTGAGGATTTTCAACATTGAGACTTCTGTAGGACAGGTTGGGATGATTTCTGTAATTCTGGTTGAATCCTCTGTTGAAATATCCTTGGTTCTGCACGTAGTTCACCTCAGCATGATGTCTTTCTGAATCATCTTCAGCAAATTCCTGATACAACCTCTCATCGCCAACATTGTCACAAAATTTGACAGTCTTTTGATTTCCGTTCAGTAACAAGGCTATGCTGTTGACTTGGTTAGTCAGCTCGTCTATCTTCCTAGACTCAATGCTATTGATGTGTCTCGATTTGTCATACTCAGGATTGCGCTGGCTGGAACTAACAGAGAGATTCTCAATAAGCTCATATGCCTCCTCTTTAGTCTTTGTCATGAAATTACCATTGCTGGCAACATTCAGACAATTCTTTGCTTCCCAGTCTACTCCATCATAAAAAATGTTCAGCACCTGCTCATCTGAGTAACCATGATGAGGACATTCTCTGAGATACTCTCTGAATTTCTCCCAAGCTTTATTGAAAGACTCACCACCATTCTGTTGAAATTGAGTGATCTTAATCCTTAGTGATGCTGTCTTAGCCTTGGTGTAGAACTGATCTAAGAAAGATGACTTGATTGCTTCCCAAGAAGTCAAAGAACCAGGTTCAAGTGATTTCAACCATCTAGCTGCTCGATCAGCCAAAGAGAAAGAGAAGAGTTTGCACTTCATATAGTCTGCAGGGACTCCATTTGAGCTTGTGGTACTGCAAATCTCTTCAAATCTCTCAATGTGATCCATGGGATTTTCTAAAGCCTTCCCATAGAACTGTTGCCCAATGAAAAATCCAAAAGACAGGCACAATTCCAGCTACAGCAGTTGCGGCTTGCCTCTGAGCCTCAACTTGCCTCTGAGCTTCAGCTTGCCTCTGAGCTTCAGATGCAGCTCGTGCTGCAGGATCATCAGCAGCATTTGGATCAATGAGATCATCACGAGCAGGAGGAGGAGGGTTTTTGGGGTTCCCATCATTATCGAACAGGCCCTGGAGATTCAGATCATCTTGATTTTGAGCCATGTTTCTCCTTCTTCGTCTGTTCTCACGTTCTAGTTGTGCTAGCTCCTCGTTGTTCAAATCCAGCAGGTTTTCAGAACCGTGGCTTCTGGTCATAAATCTGAAACACACAAGAAAACAAAAATAAAACAAATTAGCAAAAGAATAAGAAAAACTTAGTCTGAACTTTCGTCCAAGACTCATAGGCACTTAATTGGTCCCCGACAACGGCGCCAATTCTTGAAACACTTCAGGAATAATCCTAAACTCTACTGCAAGAGCACAGCAATCAAAATAGTATTTTAGGTATCGAAATCCACAAGAACCAAGTATATGCTACGGGAATGCAGAAAGAAAGTAAAGCTAAGCCTAATGACAGAGTTTTTTTTATGGTTTTAAGACTTCTAAAAACTAAGAAAAACAAAGTTGTGAGATGTAAATTCAAATGAGAAAAGCGCTAGGTCTTCAGGTAATTCGCAGGAAATCAAGACTCACTAAACAGATTATCGAATATGGAATGAATTAAAAACCGTTCTCGAACTCAAACATAAGCGTCTAGCTAACCCACTATCGTGGCACTAGCTACTATGTCTAATAACCTAAGTATCTAAACTGTCGTTTGACCTTAGAGTTCTAGACATGCTTTCTGGTTTGATAAGTTCACAAATCACCTTAGCATCAGCTTTCGTTGGCTAAGGACGATTTGCTCATCTAAGTTCTGTCAGGAAACCTAAATCACTTTCATGTTTAGATTAATCCTAAGAACATAAACTAGGTGATCAATCTAGTCTAAGCCTTAAACTCAAAAATAGATGAAGAACTCTATGTGATTCCCTAATCTACAAATTCAATTTAGTGATTCATGAAAATCCCTTGAAACCCTAAAAACCTAACTGGAGAACTACTCAGACATAGAAGCAGATGAAACACAGCAAGATGGAGAAGAACTCATGTTCAATAAAATAGAAATCCAAAAGGGTTCAGAAATCTTCTCAGAGATGTAGAGTCAGAGATTCGTCTCTCTAATCTTACAAATTGCCAAAAACTCAAAAAGTCTGAATAGAATAGAAAGCGTGTTCAGAAAAGTGATAAAAATAGGTTTAAATAGGTCTGCAGTCGTACAAGGCCGAAATCAGAAGAATTTGGGCCGAAACAGGAAAAATCAAAATTTCCTTCTTTTCTGAGGAGGTGGAACGATCGTGCTGAAATATCTGGAACAATCGTTCCAGCCTTGATCGATCGTGCCATCCAGAATTGGTCGTGCTGGAAAATGTTTGCAATTTCTGGCCGGATCGTTCCAGCTGGCCGGATCGTTTCAGCTGGCCGGATCGTTCCAATCTTTTTTTTTGCACTTTTTGCCGTTTTTGCTCCTAAGTCTCCAAACTCCGTCCTGAAACGTTTTCTGACCTGAAATGACTCTAAAAAGACTAAAAGACTCGAAAAACACTCGAAAAACAGGTTAGAATGCGTTAAAAACGTAATACATCATTCGTCATGTGCAAGTTTTAGAGTTTAAGCACCTCAAAATTGAAACTATATATCCTCAACGATATGAGCAAAACTACCTCTGTTTAATATGTTTTTTTTTTTTTTACCACAACTGATCAATATGATCTGCTTGAGAGATTGATGATTCCTCTTATTTATTTATTTATTTTGGTTGGTATGAGGTTTAAGAGAATTTGTACTGTTAGATGTTAGACTAATAAACCTTTTGAGATATAACATGACGTTATAGAGGAAGAGGTAGCTTACGAGAGTGACAGTGATATGAACGTTGAGATTAATCTTGTTAATGAAGAGGAAGAAGAAGAATAAAGCCAAAGCCTCTAGGAGGTAAAGCATGACTATTTGCAGCCTATGTGGGTTGCATTCAGGCTCTGATACCATATTAAATTACATGTTTTTCTAACTCAAAACCAATTGAGAATAAGTGGATTGACCCATATACCTTATATATGTAGTATAATATTCCCTAATATTTGCTGCCTCTCGATCTCTGTGTTGCAATTTTTTGGTATTTTCTCTTAAGTTTTCTTTTGTTATTTCGATCACATGCGTTTATCTGAGTAGAAATCAGTTCGGGTTAGATGAATCCGAGCTTTAATGGAGTGGTGTTATATATGTGTCATTTTTTAGTATTTCAATTGTATTGAGTATTGACTAATATTGGAATATATTTCCAATAACTCAATAATCTGAAACAAGTAAATAATCAAGACAATAAGAAAAAAAACAAAGGAAGAATAAGAAAAAGACAACAATAAAGAAGAGAACACAATGAACAAAGTCAATTACCTGTTTTGTTTTTCGATGTATATGCTTAAAAGTTCATTTTTGGTGAAAATGAAATAATAAAGAATATTTGAAAAAACAAGTATTACATAATGAGAATATGGCAAAACTGCACGAAACATATCGAGACATAATCAAAGAACTTTTTTGAGAACACTAAACTGGTTCTAATCTCTTTTTAAATAACTTGAATAGGAGCATGAAAGCTATGGAATTGTCCTCTGTTTTCTTTTTAAATAATCCTCTGTTTTCTTTCTTCTCTGTATCTGAAATTTTGGATGATTCCTCTTTCCGAAAGGATAAAAACAAGAAAAATTGTTACTTGAATCAATGATTTGGATCATCAAAAAGCACTTGGAGCTAAAGAAAAATTCGAATTGTACTGATATATAAAAGAGTAACATAACCACTTCTGATTCAAATCGGTTTCCAATGGCCCAAAAGTTGGAAGCCAAAGGAGGAAATGGAGGCAAGGAATGGGATGATGGAGCCAACCATGAAGGTGTATCACAGACTTATGTACGAGAGGGTTGTCAAGGCATATTTGAGTCCATCAAGTTCGACTATGTCGAAAATAGACAACCTAAAGCTGGACTAATCCATGGTGGCTCGGCCTCGGACCATTGTTTCACCTAGTGGGTATGCCCTTCCATTCTCCTCTTTCATATGATTTCTTCGTCTATTCTTTTTGTGAGGTTTTAGTATTGATTTCAACCTCTAGTTTTAGCTCTTTAACCTAAACTACTTAGATCAATTGACCTTGATACTTAGTTTGTTTGTTGATTCAAGCAAGATACAAGAAAATTTGGTAACCCAGTTCCCTTTCGGTACGTCTGGGAAGAGGCGGTACTCTCAACGATCCACTATAATCAATCAAATGTTTACAATAATGAGTTTGTTTCTTCACCGTTAAACTCACGTATCTCTCTTCTCTCTTGTGTTTCATGTACCACAAAGAAGAAATACCAGAAACTAATTCACCTTAGTTCCCAACCGCAGATGATGCCTTAACCTGAGAAGATGAAGACGAAAGCTTAGAAACCCTTGACAGTGTATCTCTGTTTCTCTTCTCCTTCTCTCTTAATTATCTCTGCCTCTTAATTCCACGACTTATTCATAAAACCCTCGTTCCTCCTTATATACCAAGTAGAAGACTTTAATTCTTGTACGTAATTCTTTTCTTATGGGCTTGACTCTTGAGCCCAACACTTATGTAAACACGTGAGAAGACTTTAGCCCATGTGATAGTAGAGACTATCTGCTCACACTTTTTCTTGCCAATTTTGATTCTGCCTTTCCTCATCTTCATCTTTCTATCAAACAATCTGAATTGTTTTTCATATTGCAGTTTGATCTTAACCATACCATTGATGAACATATTCTATCTATAAAGTGTTACTAAGATAAGGTGTGATACAAGGACTTGTGATGAAAACCAACATCAGGACTTCTGCACCCATGGGTTATAACATTCGCCCTAATACTTTGTTTAAACTTGAAGTCAAAGGAAAAAATATCATTGGGTTTCATGGATCTTCTGACAAAAACCTTCACTCTCTGAGAGCTTATTTCGGAATGATTTCTCCTGCTAATTTGGAATACTAATATAGGGGTTCCACGGGAATGCTACTACTAATTACAAGCTTCATTAGTTTGATTTATGTTTCTTTTATGGATGCTCGAATCTGTTCTACTTGGTACTATCTGTTCTATTTTCTTTCTTGTTTTGGCGTGCCTTTCCAATAAGTCAATCGCTTGCAATAAAAGAGTGTTCGTTGACAAACCAGTTTCGACGTGTTAGAAAGATAAACATAATTGATCTGTGGATTGGACTTTATATGGCACTAAGTGCATTATTACTTCCATAGTTCTTTGACATTTAAAACATCAGAAGGGTAAATGCTCTTATTGGGTACCATGGATCGTCTTCTAATTCTAATCTTTGTGCTTTTGGAGCATATTATCAATAAAGTCAATGCCTGCCATCTCTGAAGTAGAGCAAAAACCGGAGCATATTATTTTTAAAGTCAGTGGGCTTCGTGTTCCGTTTTATACATTGATATGATTTCTGTTTAGTATATGACAATTTTTCTATATTCATCATTCATAATTCTGCCATCTTTGAAGTAGAGCAAGAGCCGGAGCATATTTATTAATAAAGTCAAATGGGCTTTGTGTTCCATTTCTTTCTTTTTTTTCGTTACACATATTGATATGATTTCTGTTTAACATATGATAATTTTCTATATTCATCATCCATAATTTTGCGTTATAATAATTTTATCCCGCGCTAAATACACTTGTATAGATTAAAATTGAACTCTTTATTCTTTTTCCCCCAAAGTTTTGTCGGTATTATATTGTCATTTGCTAATAGCAATTTGACAATTTGCCAATAATTAGTTAAATATGTATACTTGAGAAATAACCTAAAATCAACAAAAATTAGTTCTTGATTTTATAAAAGTTGTTAGACTATGAATACAAGTTGTTAGACTATGAATAATATATTGCAGGTTGCTTCAAAATATTACAAAAAAACCTTATTATTAAAAGACCAAATGAAGTCTTCACAGCGAACACTGTCTATCATTCACGATTGTTTTTTTTTTTAAACTAGACATTGTGCTACTTGCATGCACTATCGTATTTTATTTATTTTTTCTGTTTAACAACTTGATATTTAATATATAATAAAGACTATCAAGGCAAGAGTCGTTGGTAAAAATAGCCTATAGATCACCGTAACAATCTCTGTTCATCAACTCTCTCGCTCTCTCTCTCATCCAGCATCACAGGTCAGGTCTCTCTCTCTCTCCAAAATTGTTACAAAGCCTTAAGAATCATTCTAAACTGCATATGCGAGCATATAGAGCTGCTTGCATTTCACGCAAGAAATTTGGATCTTCTTCTACTCTGTTTCTGCAAATGGTCTTATCCTTTTGATTTAAAATCTGTTTGATCCTTTGCTTGAAAGGATTTTTTTTTTTGGTTTAGTTAAATCCCCACTGTAGAGAAACATAAGTGTGTATATATTTATTTTTTGAATGAATATCCAACAAAAAAAAAAACCATAGTTGCTACATCAAGTGCATCCTTGTTTTAAAGAATTAGGAAAACAAAATAATCAGAAACTCAAAACATAAGTTTCTATTTGTGCAAATTATTAACTAATAAACGCAATACGTACCCATCCATATATGAAGATTCAAATCTGTTCAACATGACGCAACGGTTGGAAGCGCAAGGGCTAAAGAATCCAAAAACCGACGATATGTGGGATTACGGATCCGATCATGACGATGTTACAAAGATTTGTGTACGAGGTGACTCTGAAAGCATAAAGTTCATCGGATTCGATTCTATCAAGGATGGTCAACTTACATATGGATCATTATGTAGATCAAAAATTCGAGGTTTCACTCAAACGGTAGAGCTTGGAAATTCTACTAATTAAACAACCTTTATATTTAGTGCTAATGTGGATACTATTGACTTGACTTTTTTTTCATATTCTAAATTTTGTTTCACCAAATTTTTGCAGTTTGAGATTAACCATCTAAAAGATGAACAACTTGTATCTGTTGAGGGTTACTACAAGGATAGAGTGATTCGAGGACTTCAATTCAAAACCAACTTGAGGATTTCTGAACTGATAGGATTTGAAGAAGATTGCACTAAATTTTCGCTTGCTGTGGATGGAAAAAAGATCATTGGATTTCATGGATCTTCTAGTGGAGCTGGACTCAACTCTCTTGGAGCATACTTCACATGGATTTCTCCTACTAGATTGGATGTGAAAGGAAAATATGGAGGCAAGGAATGGGACGATGGAACAGACCATGAAGCTATTACAAAAATCTCTTTACGAGGTGGACCAGAAGGTATACGATACATCAAGTGTGATTATGTCAAAAATGGACAGCGGGTATATGGGCAAGCCCATAGTGGCACAGGTGGAGGCTTCACACAGACGGTATGTATAACTTGGGAAATGTAAACCTTAGATATGATTTCGTGAGCATAACATAGTCTATCATTATATTGTTTTTTTTTTGGCGGTGCAGTTTGAGTTGAATCATCTTGTAAAAGAATATTTAGTATCTGTTGAGGGTTACTACGACGATAGCAAGACCGGGTCATTCAAGGAATTCAATTCAAAAGTAACATCAAGATTTCTGATCTGATAGGATACGACATAGGTAAGAAGTTTAGACTAGCAGCCCATGGGAAGAATATCATTGGGTTTCATGGAACTGCTGATAAGAATCTAAACTCTCTTGGAGCATATTTCACAACTTCCCCTGTTATTAAAGTGGAATCCAAAGGTGATACTAACATAGGTCAACTTTGGGATGATGGAACCTTTGAGTTTGAGGGCGTAAGAAAAGTGTACGTTTGTTTTACTATTACCCCCGGATTATGGTTATTGTCTTCGTCTCATGGTAAACTTCGAAAATCCAGGCAAAGAGCCAACGAGTGGACAAGAAGCGGAGGTCATGATTCCTACAACTATAAATATTCGTCGACCAAAAATATGCTATCCTTCTTATATGATTTTTTTTTTTTGTTTGTTGCAGTTTGAGGTCGACTTTCCAAATGAACTCATCACATCTGTGGAGGGGACTTTGAACACTTTGTACACTACGTGGGTTTCATCGTTGACTTTCAAAACATCATAAGGGAGAACCTCTCCAACATATGGAGTAGAGACTAATAGTAAATTCGTGCTTGAGAGCAAAGGTTGTGCTCTTGTTGGTTTCTATGGACGGGTTACTGGTACTATTTCCTCTCTTGGAGCATATTTTCGTCCCCTGCCTCCTACTCCCGATAAAGATAAAGTACTAGAAGCAAAAGGTGGTGAAGGAGGATCATTTTGGGACGATGGCAGTTTTGATGGTATTCAAAAGATATACATAGGATTTGGCGAGTTGGGTAGTGTTGCTTTCGTCAAGTTTCTGTACGAAATGGACTCTCAGTGTGGTCGGAGATGATCATGGGAGCAAGACAGTTCTTGGAATGGGATATGAAGAGGTGATTACTAACAGTTTTCTTATAAAATCAATATTATTGATCAACTTATTTATTGGGATTTTCTTGTTATTGTAGTTTGATTTGGGAGACGATCCTAGTGAATACCTGATGTCAGTCGAGGGTAGTTATGATCTAGTAGATGGAGGGAAATCTGAAGCTATAGTCATGCTTAGGTTCAAGACCAATATGCGAACCTCTCCAACCTTTGGAACAGATTCAGGCACAAGTTTCATACTCCAAAAGGAAAATCACAAGATTGTTGGATTCCATGGAAAAGCAAGTACCACGCTTCATCAAATTGGGGTTCATGTCCTACCCGTTACATAATCTCATTATATTTATGAGCTCGAAGAAAACATGCTCGAGCAAGTTTGACCATCTTCTTTAATTAATCATCTCCTATCTTGTACTCTATTTTTGTATAATTTATTATTTCCTATGCTTTCTGGCGTATAAATTTCTTATCAAACTAAAATCAGAGAAAACATATACAAAAAAACAAAAGCAGAGCTTCAAAGCTTAGGCGTTATGTAATTTATCCGAAGTCATATAAGTTCTCAGATAACAAAAATGATAGAAGCACAGAGCTGTCAATGGCTTATATGATTTTGGATAAGCAGATCTTCAAGCAGCATATTGATAGAACGATGAGGGTGGATCAACGCAAGGGTGTGAAAACCCTTGTGACAAGTTCACAATCTAGTCTCAAAGAATCACACACATAAAACATAGATTTAATGTTTACTAAGTAGGAATTCCATCTAATTTTTTTTTGGCTCAAAATCAACTCATTCATTACCCAATAAAATATTCCTACAAAGTCATTTTATCATCCTCAATAAAAAGGATAATCCATTCAGACATACACGAATACAGTTTAGGAACATCATCCTGAAAGGAGTGAGTTTCCTGAGCTATTATTCTATCTGCCACACGATTTCCTTCACGCAGAGAAAACACCAGCTGATATGCTTGAACTCGGGGGAGAAGCGTTTGAATGTCTTGTTGCACCACACTTAGGATTGGCCGAGGGTTCTCATCCATCATCGCCTCGACTAACATCTTGGAATCTGTTTCAAATATCACCATGCGATAGTCGAGATTGGTTACCGTGAGGATAGCCCATCTCAAAGCCTCAGCCTCAGCTTCCAAAACTGAATTCAGTCGCTGTAAGGTTCTAGCTCCCATCCACAATGCTTGAACCTGGCAATCCCTCAATACCCAACCGATCCCACATTTATCATTCTCCTTGGACCATACAGCATCCGGGTTGCATTTAAGCCAATTACCGGGGGGTGAGATCCATTTGTGTTGAGTATTCGCAGGAGGGTTGACATGTCTCCTCTGTTCTTCTACCACTTTCCTACTCTGTCATTCCTCTGTATCTTCTGCGGCTTTCCTCACTGCATCCTGACAGTTATGATCTTTCCCTTCAAAGAGATAGTCATTCCTGTTTTTCCACAATCTCCATAAGATCCAAGTCATCAATTTCCCTGCTTCTTTCTCTCTTGGATGGTCTTTTGCTATATTGAATACTCGATAGAAGTTTGTGAAAAAGGAATCTGACATCTCTCCCTCCGAAGAAGCGGGAACCAGTGAGACAGCCCACACAAGCCTTGCATAAGGACAGGTGAACAGAACATGATTCACAGTTTCAGGACCTGATTGACATTGTCCACACATAGTATCCTTTGCAATATGCCTGTAGACCAAATTTGTTGCTACAGAGAGAGAGAGAGTTACTTAGGCATTTCCAGAGAAAATGTTGAACCTTTGGGCTTGTATCTGTGTTCCAAACCATTTGAAAGAGTGCATCAAGGCTCGGTTGATCCATTTCAACAGGACTTTGCTCAGTATTTAGGATATTAGTCAGCATCCAGTATCCAGATCTCACCGTATAATGCCCTGATTTCAAAAAATCCCAAGCGTATGAATCTTTGCAGTCCACTCCTCCCGGCCTAATTTTCATTTTTTTTGCCTGCAGTCCTCTTCCATGAACACAGATTCAATCAATTCCCTATTCCACTCTCTCAAACCTGGATATACGAGATCCTGAACCTTATTTATTCTTGATACTCCATATTGGAGACTTGGCATCGTCCATTTAGCGACTTTAATCGATTTTGCAGGTTTTCTCTCAACCCATTGATAACTCCACACTGAGGTTTGAGCCCAATTTCTGATTACAACTCTTGTTCCTCTTCTCAATAATCGTTGAGCCTCATAGATGTTTTTCCAAGCATACGAAGGTCTGGAACCGAGCTTGGTTTTCAGAGGATCAGATTTATGGAAATACCTTGCTTTGAATACCCTTGCCATCAAAGAGTCCGGGTATGATAGCATACACCACATTTGTTTCCCAAGCATAGCCACATTAAAAGCTTCCAGATCCTTGTAACCCAAGCCTCCATTTTTCTTTGGCTTGCTCAACTGATTCCAAGCCCTCCAATGCATTCCTCTCTGCTCATGATCATTCTTCCACCAGAAATCAGCCATTATCTGAACTATCTCCCTGCAAACTGTTTTTGGAAGAAGGAAGCATCCCATTATGTAAGTAGGTAGAGCCAAAGCAACAGTTTTAAGCAATACTTCTTTCCCAGCCTGAGAGAGGAATCTATTTTGCCATCCCAACACTTTACTATTCAGTCTTTCTTTCAAATACCCCAATATAGAGATTGAGCCTTCAAATGATTCAGGCAACCCCAGGTAAACCCCTTCTCCACCCTCTTGATGGATACCCAGCTTCATCTTTACCTCCACTCTTCTATTCAGGGACATTCTTGCCAAAGCAGACACTGGATTTTTGGTAATTTAGATAAATAAAACAAAGCCTAAGTTGTAAAGAGAAAAACTATGTTTTCTTATATCCCAAAAAACTGTCTATGTACAATGAAAACAAGGACTATTTTATAGCTCTTACAAGATAATATGTACAATAAATACATTCAAAGAATGAATTCAAATTTAAACAAAATGAGAATAATTAGCTAAATCAAATAATGGTCTTCTTGCCACCAATCAAGCCTTTGACTTTGAATGAGATTCTTTTCTTTTGTGAAACTATGTATCGAAGATGAGATTCTCATAATAAATCCAGACATGTATCGAAGATATATTTTTGAACGGATGTACTGCAAAGAAAACGCTTACAGTCGCTGAACAGCGTGTAAGTTGTAAGCAAGGGGATTCTTAAAAGTGTGAAAGTAGTGGATGTGAAAGTCGAAGATGGAAAGAAAGCGGATGAGATGATGCTATATAAACACTAATTAGAAGATTGAAGATTGATTTCTTGCTTATCTGACTCAGGAAAAGAAGCGCCTATGGCCAGAGCGCTACTATATCTATCTCTTACTGGAAGACACGATCTCTGGTCCACCTTTTCTTCGTGTGCTTGTTCCTTACTGATATCTGTCGTTGTTAATCACATCCTTTGATTCTAGATGACTCTACTAGACTCTTTATCTTAAAACAGCAACTTTAATATGCACTGGTTAATGATTTTGAGTTTTGTGATTAATCCACAAACTCTTTAAAAAACAATTTTTTTTTTTTGTGTCTAACTCTTTATAAAATTATTAAAATATTTTTAACTTTTGTTTTGATATATGTTCAAATAAAATAAAATAAATAATGATGAAAAAAATATTGTAAAATCTCAAATGATTTTTTTTTTCTTTGAATATATGTTGGTTAATGATTATTATTTTTAACAAATAATATTTTTAATATTATTATATAATGAAAAAACAAATACAGTACTTTTCAATGATTTTTTGTTATTTATGATGATATAGTAATGTAACAACTTACAAAAAAAATATTTTTCTTAATGACTCCTTCAGTAATAATATAGAGATACACATAATAATGATATCTGTTTAACATATAAAATTTTTCTATAGTCATCACTCATAATTTTGTGTGATAATAATTTTATCTTGCGCTACTACACATATAAATTGAAATACAACTCTCTAAATTTTTTTTTCAAAGTTGGAGTGGTATCATTTTGTCATTTGCTAATATCAGTTTAACAATTCGTCATAAATTACTTAAATATACATTGAGAAATAACCTAAACTGACACAAAGTTAGACTAACTAAATACATTATTGCAGGATTAACTGCTCAGATATTAAAAAAAACATAATATTAAAAGACCAAATGAAGTCTTCTCAGTGAACATTGTTTATAATTCACGATTTAAAAAATAGACATTGTGCTACTTGCAACATTATATTTTTGTTGTTGAACAACTTGATGTTTAAAACTGACTATATTATATAGAAAGTGTAACATCTCGATTTCTGATATATATGAAAAAGTTTATAAGAATTGATTTGGTTACCTATGTCAATAAAGTGTATTTATCTTTTCCGATCAAGTGTGCTGAAAGAATAAGCGTAGTGATGCTGGAGTAATCTCAGGTTGGGTGACCTACCAGGAAGTACTCTATGATACTATACGAGTGAGGACAAAACACGGGGAAAAATCATGTGGTGATTGCAGGGACAGTAGACAAATCTTACGAGCCTTCTGGACTAACGACTCCCGACCATCGAACAGTAGTGGGTCAACGGGCCTAGAAAGAGAACGTTGGGCCAACGGGCCTAGAGAGAGAACGTTGGGTCCACGGGCCTAGAGAGGGCGTTGGACTCACTGGAAGGGACGGTTGGGGGGAGGGAGTTAGGATTGATATCGCCGGTCCGCGTCTGGTCCCTAAAGGGAGGACGGGATCGGGGTGTCACAAGTGGTAACTGAGCCGACACCTAATCACGTGTGTGGACTCACACCGTCTAGGTGAACGATCCTGGTGCGTGAGCACTCTGTGAGTAGAGAGAGAATTCGGGGACGAAATCTTTGGAAGTCGGGGAGAGTTGTAACATCTGGAAAGGCTTATAAGAATTGATTTCGTTACCTATGTCAATAAAGTGCACTTATCTTTTCCGGTCAAGTGTGCTGAGAGAACTTCAGAGTTAAGCGTGCTGATGCTGGAGTAATCTCAGGATGAATGACCTACCGGAAAGTACTCTGCGGTACCGTGCGAGTGAGGACAAAACACGGGGAAAGATCTGGTGATTGCAAGGACAGCAGACAAGTCTTACGAGCCTTCCGGACTAACGAATCCCGACCGTCGGACAATGGTGGGCCAACGGCCTAGAGAGGACGTTGGGCCAACGGGCCTATAGAGAGGACGTTGGGCCCACGGGCCTAGAGAGGGCGTTGGGCTCACTGGGAGGGGCGGTTAGGGGAGAGTTAGGATTGATATCGCCGGTCCGCGTCTGGTCCCTAAAAGGAGGGCGGGATTGGGGTGTCACAAGTGGTAACTGAGCCGACACCTAATCACGTGTGTGGACTCACACCGTCTAGGTGAACGATCCTGGTGCGCGAGCACTTTGTGAGTAGAGGGAGAATTCGAGGACGAATTCCTTGGAAGTCTGGGAGAGTTGTAACATCCCGATTTCTGGTATATATGGAAAGGCTTATAAGAATTGATTTCGTTACCTATGTCAACAAAGTGCATTTATCTTTTCTGGTCAAGTGTGCTGAGAGAATTCCAGAGTTAAGCGTGCTGATGCTGGAGTAATCTCAGGATAGATGACCTACAGGGAAATACTCTGCGGTACCGTGCGAGTAAGGACAAAGCACGGAGAAAGATCATGTGGTGATTGCAAGGACAATAGACAAGTCTTACGAGCCTTTCAGACTAACGACTCCCGATTGTCGGACAGTGGTGGGACAACGAGTCTAGAGAGGACGTTGGGCCAACGAGCCTAGAGAGAGGACGTTGGACCCACAAGCCTAGAGAGGACGTTGGGCTCACTGAAAAGAGCGATTAGAGGAGAGTTAAGATTGATACCACCGGTCCGCGTTTGGTCCCTAAATGGAAGGCGGCATCAGGGTGTCACATTAAGAATATGGAAGCAAGAGTGGCGTGAATATTTAATCATCCATTGGATCAAAGAAACAAAACTTGTGTATAATTGATACCTCCATGGCTTAGCTTATAAATCACCATAAAAATCTCTGTTCATCAGATCGCTCGTTCTCTCTTTCTCTCTCATCCACCATCACAGGTCAGCTCTCTCTCTCTCTCTGATGGTCTTATCCTTTAGATTTAAAATCTGTTTGATCCTTTACTTGAAAGTTTTTTTTTGTTTTTTGTTTTTGGTTTAAATCCTCAATCT